CACTTCCTCCTGTGTGTACCCGGGTGAGCCCAGGCGCCAGGGGTTAGGACTGCCTTCAAGTAAGGGTCGTGTGATGTTTGGGAGCCCTGAAACTTTGGGGATAGGCAGGCAGATAGATGGATGGCTAGATAGATGATAGATAGATAATAGATGATAGATAGATAGATAATAGATGATAGATAGATGATAGATAGATAATAGATGATAGATAGATGATAGATAGATAATAGATGATAGATAGATGATAGATAGATAGATAGATGATAGATGATAGATAGATAGATGATAGACAGATAGATAGATGATAGATAGATGATAGATGATAGATAGATAGACAGATAGATGATAGATAGATAGATAGATAGATAGATAGATAGATGAAAGATAAATTTATATAAACGGCGCCTCAGAAGTTTCCCGACTCTGTCGGGAGACAGGCCCACAGCGGGCAGTTAGAGCAACGGAATGTGAGTGCGCCCTTGGAGGCGTCTCAGGATGCCTCAGCCACCAAATCAGGAGGGCTTCCTGGTGGAGGGGATGCATGAACTGCGTTTGGAAGGATGACTGGCCAGGTGCTGAGGAAGGTAAGGAGAAGGGAGGGGAGGGGAGAAATGGGAGGGGAGGGGAAGGGAGAGAAGGAGAGGGAAGTGAAAGGAAGGGAAGGGAGGTGAGCAGCAATATTGGTTCTATAAACAGCTAAGGATGGGGAGAGGAGGGAGGGGAGGGAGAGGAGGGAGAGGAGGGAGGGGAGAGAGGGAAGGGAGGGGAGGGAAGGGAGGGAGAGGAGGGAGAGGAGGGAGGGGAGGGAGGGAAGGGAGAGGAAGGAGGGGAGGGAGGGAAGGGAGGGGAGGGAGGGGAGGGGAAGGGAGGAGGTGAGCAGCGGTATTGGCTCCATCTATAAACAGCCTAAGGAGGGGGAGGGTGGCTGAGGCATCCTGTGTGCAGTCGGCTTGCAGGAGTGACCCAGACTCACACTCCTGGCCCAGGTCCCTGGCTGAGGGGGAGCTCGGCATCAGGAGGATGGCTCCGGCCCCTTCTTGCCCCCGCCCTCTCAGCCATGTTCCACCCCTCCCCCCATTATTATCCCCCCTCCCATTGTTTATAAGACACCCAGGGGCCACTCTTCCCATGGCAGCCTCCAAAGGGTCACAGAGTTCCCGCCTCCCCGGTGCCAGGCCCCACTGCCAGTTCCCTGGTGTCCATGTGCCTGGGTGTGTTGGGGGGAAGGAGCCAGGGGCAGGAAGGACCAGTTCTCCAAATGCTGGTATTTAATCTTCTCCACAGCTCCGCCAGGGCCCGTGTTTCTGTGCCCATCGCACAGATGTGGAGACTGAGGCCCGACTCAAAGACGCTGTTCTGTGTCTTTTGGCGCTAACTCAGGGGACCACAGCCACGGTTACCCCCATTTGACAGAGGCTGCTGGCACAGGCGGGGGCTCTCCTGGAGCCGTTGGCTGGGATGCTCTGCAGGAGACAAATGAGGTGGCCCTGTTTTGCTTGGTGCAAGCCGGCTGCAGACTGGCCGCCCGGAGCCCACTCCCTCTGCGGGCCTCGGAGGGCAAAGCCCTTGCGCTCCGCCTTCCCTGGGAAAGGCTGTTTTCTGTTCCAACGAGCCGTCCAGAGGGTCCCCTGAGACCTCTGGCCTCTCTCCAGGACGCAGGCCTGGAACTGGGCCCAGCCCCAGGCAGAGGCCTTGGAAATCAAGCTGGGCAGCGTGAAGACGAGGGGAAACTGAGGCCACAAGAGGAGGAAGGTGGCATCTCTGACCCAGCCCCACCCTCACCCTGCCCTGGCATAGGTACCTTCATGGTGCCCATTTTACAGGTGGAGAAACTAAGGTTCTAAGCCAGTGGTCGGCAAACTCATTAGTCAACAGAGCCAAATGTCAACAGTACAATGACTGAAATCTCTTTTGAGAGCCACATTTTTAAAACTTAAACTGTATAGGTAGGTACATTGTTGTTAACTTAATTAGGGGACTCCTAAGCTGGCCTTTGCTAAACACTCAAGGGGCCAAAGAGCCGCATGTGGCTCTCGAGCCGCAGTTTGCTGACCACTGTTCTAAACGCTCACAGGACTAATAAACCGTAAGGCTGTGATTCGAACCCGGTCCACAGGCTACTTCAGAACTGCCTGCTTCTGCTGCGGCTGCACTGCCCCTCTGCTCTCAGGGCGAGGCCCGGGGTCCCTGGCAGACACCCAGCCTGTAACGGCACAGGCCTGGCGCTGGGGACCCCTCCTGACGCAGCCTGTCTTCCCGTGAGGCCCAGCATGAAGCCCCTGCACACTGAGCCCTTTGCATTCTCTCACAAACCCTGTAACCACAGCATCTGCTAGTGTCTCCACTCTGCACATCAGGATTCTAAAGAGGAGGGATGTACTCAGAGATCCTCAGCAACGGAGGGCCTCAGTGGGGAAACCGAGCGCTGGCCCAGCCCGCCGAGGGGCAGGGGAGTGCGCCCTCTCAGAGGCAGGGTCCTCGCCCTCGGGTCCCTCCAAGGTAGACCCCACCTCGTCCATCTGTGTGCGGGGCGTAGCCAGATGGTCAGGCTGGAAGAGGACGGCAACATTGCCCCGCCCGCTCAGATCCCACGTGTGTGCCCCAGGTGTGTGCCCCTTACCTGGTCAGTGTTCTTGGAGTTCCCAGAGGGAGCAGTGGATTTGGGTTTGGAAAACTGGGCTCCAATCCCATCTTTCCAGCTCTCGGTGCAAACCCTCCCCTCCCCTCCCCTTCCCTGAGCCTTAATCGCCTCATCTGTGACATGGGAGCATCGTCTTGTGGAGGGAGTGGAGGTGTTGCAGAACTAATCCCAGTTAATTCAACAAAACCCACTCTTCCCCTGGCTGGTTTGGCTCAGTGGATAGAGCATCAGCCTGCGGACGAAGGGTCCCGGGTTCGATTCTAGTCAAAGGCACATGCCCGGGTTTCAGGCTCGATCCCCAGTAAGGGATGTGCAGGAGGCAGCCGATCAGCCATCATTGAGGTTCCTATCTCTCCCTTCCTCTCTGCAATCAATTTATTTAAAAAACAACAACACAAAAATACAACCCCTCCCCCCCCAAAAAAAAACAAAACAAAACACCAGCCACTCTTTCCTCCTCTGCTGCTGTCGGGGCAATGCCAGGAGATAACTGACAATGGAAAAGATCTGAATGCCATTCGAACCCGGGGTAGGGTCTAGAAAGTCTGGAATTGTCTGCAGGCGACTGGCTGCTCCAGGGAACCGTCGCCTGCTGCCGTCCCCTCCCAGGGCATCGGGGCAGGGAAGGGCACGCAGCTGAGTGCTGGCCACAGGCCTGTGATCGGCCCATACGTACCAGGGCCAACCACCGCCTTGGGGTGAGGACCTGGAGGGCCCCCATCAAATGCTTGCTTTAACCCAGAGCCACAAGAATGCCCCATACAAAGCACCCTGATTAAACGTTTATTATCACCTCCGGGGTTGCAAGTCCCCGCACACAGGCGGACCTAAGCCGCCCGGGCTGGGCTGCTGGGGGCTGCTGGGTGCAGGCGGCTCCAGCTGCCCCAGGTGTGTTCCCTCCGGGCCCAGCTCAGGGCAGTGCCTCCAGGGGGCGCTCTTCTCCCGGCGATGGCAGAAGAGCAAGCCCCACAGCACAAGCACCAGTCCAGCGGTTGCGTTGTCTCGTCCACCAGCACTCACTGGCCAGAGCAAGTTCATGGCCAAGCCCAGCTTCAACGGGGAGGGGAGAGGGGGTACGCTGCCTCCGGGGAGAGGGGTGAGCGTTTGCCAAGCAAACCAAATTATAGCGCTAGTATTTGGGATATTTTGTAAAAGACCTCATGTGATGCTAATGCTCAGCCAGGGCTCAAAACCGTTAACCCACACGCCGCTTGTCAGCCAGTCAAAGCGAAAATCAGGCTTGATGAATGTTACTTTATTTCCTAAAAGCAGTTTGTCTCAACCAGCGTTCATTTTTCCTCCAGGCATGTGTGGGGTTTTTGTTTGTTTGTTTGTTTTAAAGAGAGGCCCTGGAATTAACACAACATTAAAAAAAAACAAAACAAAACACAATTGATTTTAATTAGATCACGAGATTTTAAGTGACAGGCTTATGTATGAGGCCTAGCGTGCAGTGCCGAGAAGTGGAAAAATGCCGGGATACGATGTTGTTGGGTAACTGGAAGGAATGTGAGCACTTGTGAACACTCGTGAGGACAGGGATTTTGGTCTGGTGGCGGTTGTACCACGAATGCTTAGATGAGTGCCTGGCACACAGTAGGTGGTCAATAAGTAACCCCTCAGCGTGCCTTCACAGAGACAGGCTGCTGGAATGGAAGACTGAATGGTGGATGCGTGGATGGTTGGGGAGAGATGGATGTATAATTGGATGGAGGGGAGGAGGGATGGAGAAAGAGTGAGTAGGTGGACAGACAGAATGATCAGGGGGTGGGTAATGGAGGGATGGGTGGGTGTTGGATGGCTGGGTGGACAGATAGATGAGTAGATGGATAGGAGCATGAACGGTTGGGTGGATGGCTGACTGGGTAGTTGGATAAATAGATGGATACGGCCGAAACCGGTTTGGCTCAGTGGATAGAACGTCAACCTGCAGACTGAAAGGTCCCAGGTTCGATTCCAGTCAAGGGCATGTACATTGGTTGCAGGCAAATCCCCAGTGGGGAGTGTGCAAGAGGCGGCTGATCGATTGATTCTCTCTTTTCAAAGTTTCTAACTCTCTATCCCTCTCTCTTTCTCTCTATAAAAAATTAATAAAATATATTTAAAAAAAATAGATGGATATGTGGGCAGATGGGAAGTTGGATGGGTAAATGAGTGCGTGGGTGGAAGACAGGTGCATGAGGGGTATGGTTCATAGATCCGTGGATGCCAGAAGATAGCAGAGACTTCCCAGGGGGTAAACATAGATATTTTGCAAATATCTATGGATGTTTGGGTCTCCTCACAGGATTTTCTGGTTTGCTGCTTCCTCCTCCCCACCTAGTGTCTCCTCGGGAGACCGGGGTGAGAAGTGCGAGAGATGGCCACGGAGATCAGTGCCCCGGGCACACAGCCGGCCATCGGCAACGAGGAGTACAGCCTGTACAGCAGCCTGAGCGAGGAGGAGCTGGTCCAGATGGCCATTGAGCAGAGCCTGGCTGACAAGACGCGGGGCCCAACCACGACGGAGGCCGCCCTGTCCACACGTGCCAACCGCCAACCTGCCCACTTCTACCCCTGGACCAGGTAAGCCAGGAGAGGCCAACGGGGCTGTACATAAGGTGCTGGTTCCAAGCACTCTTAATCCAAACCCGAAATGATTTACAGTTACTATCTAAGCTTCCTGAGCTCCTGCCTCGTTTAACCGTCTTAAGAACCTTCTAGGAGGCTCTGTGCTAGAGTCCCATTTTGCAGATGAAGAAACTGAAGCTCAAGGCTGAGGAACTAGCCTCAGACCACACGGCGAGGGGATGGGGTTGCAGGGACGGGGCTGTGGCCGCATGTTTGGATGCAGTGGACGGATATCCGCGTCTGCCCAGCGCTCCCAGCCCCATCTGGGCAGCTCCCTGGGAAAACCCGTCTGAGACGCAAATGACATCTCCCCAGCAAGGCGCTCCTGCCTCCTTGCTCCGGCACCCCATCTCAGCATGACCCATCCTCCCAGCAGCAGGACTGGCTAGCGCAGCGTCGTGCCACCCTAACAGAGGCACAAGACAGGCCACAGTTGCAATTCCACATACACCAAAAGCATATATATATTTATTTTACTGATTTCAGAGAGGAAGGGAGAGGGAGAGAGAGATAGTAACATCAATGATGAGAGAGAATCATGGATCGGCTGCCTCCTGCACACCCCACACTGGGGGTTCCCTGACCGGGAATTGAACCGTGACCTCCTAGTTCACAGGTCAACGCTCAACCACTAAGCCATGCCAGCTGGAATCCACATGCTCCATTTTGAATGTCCCCAAGAGCCACAGTAATAAGTAGAGACAGCTGAAACTGGTTTGGTTCAGTGGATAGAGCATCAGCCTGGGGACTGAAGGGTCCCAGGTTCAATTCCGGTCAAGGGCATGTACCTTGGTTGCAGGCACATCCCCAGTAGGAGGCGTGCAAGACACAGCTGATCAATGACTCTCTCTCATCGATGTTTCTAACTTTCTATCTCTCTCCCTTCCTCTCTGTAAAAAATCAATAAAATATATATTTTTTAAAAGTAGAGAGAAACAGGTGAAATTAACTTATGCCTAAACTATTATCATTTCCACATCGTCAATATAAAAAAATCACAGAAAAAATGTGTACATTCTTGTCTTCTCACGGGAAGCCTTTGAAATTGGTGTTTTTTGCACTCACAGTGCATCTCGACTCAGACGCTCCACAACTCCAGGCTCACCAGCCCCTGTGGCCAGGGGCGGCCGGACAGGACACCGTCTTGGTAGGGGGTGGGAGTTGATGAAGCACTGGACCTTAGATGCTTTTAGAAAAGAAACACATACATTTAAAAGATGTTCTGCTCACCAGGAGTCCAAGTCGAGTGTGTGCTGGGAAGTGGCTGACGGGACGGAGCTGCTATACCTGTGTTATCTTGGGGTCCGGCGTCAGATCTCATTGTCTCCCCCTGTGCCCTGGGCAAGTCACCTGACCTTTCTGACACACAGTCTCCTTTTTGACAAAATAAACATACTTTTTCCAGTGTCCGGCCCCAGCTGATAGGGAGGAAGGTAGGTGATGGTGTGACTCTGGCCTTGCCCAGGCTGGACCATCTCTGCTAGTCAGGCTGGGTGAAGGTCCCAGGTGTCTGTCACCAGGGAGTCCCTTCTAAAGGGGCAGGCAGGCAGGCAGCCTCCGTGGGCAGTTGGGAGGCTCCCAGTTATGGAGCTGTCCCCGAGGACACCCCATTGGGGGACACAACCTGAAAAACAGAAGCCCAGCGCCAAGGACTTGGGGTGCCTTGTGCTCTAGGCCGCTCTGGTTCCTGTCCTGGCCAGTTAGTTCAGTGTAAGTCAGACCACAACTTCCTCTTTCTCAGGAGGGATCAGATAGAAGCAGCCTCTCTCCCTCAGAGCCTTCAGCACAAGCCAGCATCCCGGGCCTCTCAGCTCTCTCCCACAGAGGGAGCCCCACCTGGGAGTCCAGCCTCCAGACTCCAGCCTCCTCCTTCCTCCAGCGGAGAGAGAGAAGTGGAGACACACCCGTGAGGCCAGAGTAAACACGTATCCAGCCTCCTGAGAAAAAGGCTCTGAGAGAAGTAAACTGCCTTATCCAAGGTCATGTGGTCCTCACTGATGATCCAGGCACAAGCAACGCCAGGGAGAAGAAGTCAGCCCTGCATCTTGTCACTCTCCCTCCAGAAAAAGAAAAAAAGAAAAAGAAACTATATATATATATATATATATATATATATATATATATATATATATATATATTTAATTGATTTTTTACAGAGAGGAATGGAGAGGGATAGAGAGTTAGAAACATTGATGAGAGATAAACATCAACCAAGTGCCTCCTGCACACCCCCTACTGGAGATGTGCCTGAAACCAAGGTACATGCCCTTGACCGGAATCAAACCTGGGACCCTTCAGTCCACAGGCTGACACTCTATCCACTGAGCCAAACCGGTCAGAGCCAGAAAAAAATTTTTTATTGAAATTATTGGTGTGACATCCTACCTAATAAATAGGGAATATGCTAATTTACCATCACATCCTCACAAAGATGGCAGAGTCCACAGCCAATAAGGAAGGACTATGCTAATGGACTGTCACACCCTAAATGCGGCACCCACAGCCACAAGATGGTGGTGCCCAACCCCCTTAGTCCCACTGGGGCAGCAGGTGCACGGCACACCTGGGGATGGGCCTGGCTGCTCTGCATGCCTGCCTCTGGAGTCCCCCAGGCCTATCTGCCCTCCAGCCACGCAGGGCCACCCAAGGCTCAGAAAACCAGGGCCAGCCAAGGCTTGTGCTGCCAGCAGTGGCAGCAGCAGAGGTGTGATGAAGCTTTGACTTCCTCTAATTGCCAGGTCACTTCCTTTCTCTGAGGGCTCCTGGACTGGGAGAGGGGACAGGCTGGGCTGAGGGACTCCACTCCAGGGCATGAATTTTCATGCACTGGGACACTAATTAGTTAATAAAATTATGTAAGTTTTAGGTGTACAATTCTATAATACATCATCTATATATTATATTGTGTGTTCAAGTCAAGTGTGTTTCCATCACCATTTACCCTCCCCTTCCTCTCCTTACCCCCTTCCCCTCTGGTAATCACCATGCTGTGGTCTGTGTCTGAGTTTTTTCTTTGCTAATCATCTTCCAAGCCTTGGCCCTGTGAGGGCTCCCTGAAAGGTGTGCCCAACTTCCCATCCCATGGAGAAGCAGGGTTCGTGCCCTGCTGGCCAGAGAGGAACAAACAGGGGCCCAAGGCTACTCGGGTGGACCAGTCAGAGTGGGGCCAGGAAGCTGGGTCTTCAGTCTTCCAACTTCTGCTTTTTATTTAAGGGGACATTTCTGAGAAGACAAAGGAGGAAAGCAGGAAGCAGGAACTTGCTTGGGCTGAGGGGCACACACTGTGATCAATTCAATCGGTCCATCCACACTCATGGTGCACTTCTGATAGGCCAGCTTCCTGGCCAGGGATGTGAATCAGGCCTGGCCCCTGCCCTGTCCAAGCTTGAAGTCTAATGAGTATAAAAGGCACAGAAGCACCCGGTGACCCAACAGGAAAGATGTAGCAAAGGGGCTTGTCTCAGTGTCAGAGGGACGCAGAAAGGGGCTTTGCACCTAGTCAAGGAGGTGGGCTTTGCAGGATGAAAAGGAGTTCGCCAAACAGGGTAGAGGAAGCAAACTTCTTCGGGCCTCAGTTTCCTCATCTGCAAAAGGGAGCCAATTGCATCTACTGCACAAAGTGGACTAGGGGGAGAACGGAGATGCGTTGTGCCATGTGCCTGTCACAGGCTTGGCACATAGCAAGCGCTCAGCCGGTCTCGGCTATGTGTGTGGGGGAAGGCAGATGTTGCCACTGGAATTCTGTTCTCTGTGATGCCTCTCCGGCCAGCCCAGAGAGGATGGCTTGGTCCGTGGGAGAGGGAGAAACAGAATGCTCACGGGAGGCAGGGGCTGGTTCTCCGGGAATCTGAGGTGGTGGCATGCAGCCTCCCAGCCCTTGCAACTACCATATGGGATAGTACCCCCCCCAAAACAACAACAACAACAAAAAAACAACTTTGGTTTGTTTCATTCATTTACATGTGTGCATGACAGACACTGTGCATGACACCTGTGCTTGGCATAGGGCTGGCATGAGGACCAGCTGAGAGACAGACACGGGATCTGGGCACAGTGGTGGGCACGGGCAGGCTCGTGAATTTGGGAGCTTCCTGCCTTTGAGGTGCCTGCACGCAGCCTGCGTTCAGCCAGGTGCTGCCCAGGGAAACCCCTCTCCTGGGGCGGCCCAGGCTTCTCATTCGCTGAGGAGCCGGCGGGCATCACAGCTCCGCTCGCTCCTCTCCCCACGCGGAAGCCGGGACAGGGCAGCGGGGAGCGGGTGAGGGTGCTGCACTCCTGACCCCGGCCCTGCCCGCCCACAGGAAGGACAGGACCCTACCTGGGCCCCTTCTAGGACACGACCTGCGCCCACATCCCGCCTGCCAGGTTCCTCTCACGTCTGATGAGTCAGCCCGGGGTTCCCCTGCTCTGGGCCGGGGGAGGAAGTGGGCTGCAGCCTCGGCAGAGAGAGCACGAAGACAGGGCCTGGCTCCCCCGCCAGCCAGCCGAGCTGAGACCCGAGGCTCGGAGCACCCGGCCTGCCTGCCCTTAACACCCTGTTCACCACAAGGCCAGGCTCCCTTTTCCAGCCCCTCCCCTGCGGCTCTGAGGTTGTGTGTCTTGTCTCATGTCCCACTGGCCCCCGAATATCCTGAGGATCAAGGAAAAGAAGTGCCCGGCCCCGCTGGTGTGGCTCAGTGGTTGAGCATCGTCCTAGGAGCTGGGAGGTCTCTGTTCGATTCCCGGTCAGGGCACAGGCCCTGGTTGCGGGCTCGGTCCCCAGTGTGGGGCATGCAGGAGGCAGCCCATCAGAAGTTCTCTCTCGTCATTGATGCTTCTATCTTTCTCTCCCCCTTTCCCTTCCACTCTGAAATCGATAAAAAAAAAAAAATATATATATATATATATATTTGTTTAAAAAGAAACACCATGCTGGTCTGCATCCTCAGGTGCTAGTCCCGGGGAGTGAGCGAGCAGGAACTGAGAGGTTCTTGTTGAACCTGTATTTTCCGGCGTATAAGACGAATTTTGAACCGAAACAAAGTCAACAGAAAATCGGGGGCAAAAGACCAAAACTGCACAAAAATTACCTGCAGATCTTGACGGCAAAGTAAGTCTTTTCTTTGAAGTGGGGGGTAGTCTTGTACAGCGAATATAGGCCTAAACCTATGTTTTAACTGTAAAATTAGGGGGGTCGTCTTATATGCCGGAAAATACGGTAGTTTGGTTTGTTTCCTCCTCCGAGAAGTGGGAGTGCGACACCCCCTCCTCCATCCTGGTGGCAGACCGTGGACCTGAGGCACAGCCCCAGGGGTGCCAGCACGCCCGCCCGCCCATCGCTGCCACCCCCACGGCCTCCAGGTCTCCCGATTGCTGTCCTTGCTGTTGTGCCATCAGAGGGAGGGCCTCGCCCTGGGACAGGGTCTGGGGCTGGCCTGGGGCTCCCCACAGGCGGGGAACACCCCAGCGCCGGGAGGGAGGACGTTGGGTCTGTTTCACTCCCTGCCTGGGTGGGATACTCATGGGGCGTTTTGTTCTTGCTTCATGGATGCCTGGATGCTTCTGAGCAGCAGAGTGAGATGCTAGACTCGGAGACTCTGTATGCGTTTCTGTCATCAACAGCACACGATGCCATGCCTTGGAGCTTATTAACCTGTAATAAAATCCAACGATATTTAAAAAATGGGAGCCCACACCTGAGCCAATGCCGAGGGTGGCTGGGACCCCAGGATTGTGGGGAGACGGAAGCCTGCCCAGTGCTCTCCCCTGCCAGGGCCAGGGCACGCGCAGATGGTAGTATTGAGCACACGCACGCGCGCACACACACACACACACACACACAGACACACACACAGACACACACACAGACGCACACAGACATACACACAGGCACACACACAGACACACACACAGACACACACAGACACACACACACAGACACACACAGACACACACACAGACACACACACAGACACATACAAACACATACACACAGACACACACAGAGACACACACAGACACACACAGAGACACACACACAGACACACACACAGACACACACACACAGACACACACAGACACACACACAGACACACACACACAGACACACACACAGACACACACAGACACACACAGAGACACACACACAGACACACACACAGACACAGACAGACACACACACAGACACACACACACAGACACATACAGACACATACACACAGACACACACAGAGACACACACAGACACACACACAGAGACACACACACAGACACACACACAGACACACACACACAGACACACACAGACACACACAGACACACACACAGACACACACACAGACACATACACGCACACAGACACACACACACATAGACACACACACACAGACACACACATAGACACACACACACACACACACACACACGTGCGGTGGGGGGGCAGCCCTCCACCTTGCAGAGTCCAGGGTTCCTCGTCTATAAAAGGCCGTGACCTTGGCACCCGCCTCCAGCGTTAATGAATGAGGAGTGGGCTCCCAGGAGAGAGGAGGGGGTGACGGGGGGGGGGGCAGGAGGTGGAGGTGGTATCAGTGATGAGGATGAGGAAGGGGTGACCTGGACCCCCCTGCGATGGGTGGAGCAATGGAATCAGGGATCCTTCCTTCTCTCTCTGCCCCCTCACCCCTCCCACGGTGTCCTGGCCTCACCGAGTCTGGCCTGCTGGGGAAGTATGGGCCCTACTCAGGGTCAAGTTTCGAGCACCTCCATGCCCCACAGCCTGCTGGTCACCAGTAAGAGCGTCCTCCCCAACCCCATGGGGGACCCCCCAGAGGGGTGCCCCGGGACCAGGGCTGACCTGCTGGAAGGAGGGCCAGCATGGGCCACTGTCCCATCTGCACTACAACCCAGCCAAGCAGATGTGTGGCGTGGACACCACACCTCCTTCCCCCTCCCATTCAGAAGAGCCGGCTGGGGTGGGGAAACGGAGGCTCAGAAAGGCAAAGTGATGATAACATTAATGGTGGGCATGATGGAGCACCCCTGTGCGTGGCCCTCTGCTGAGCACGTCACACCGTCCACTCCCTGAGACCTCAGCAGCCCTGAGACTAAGGCCCAGCGTCACATGGCCAGGAAGTGCCAGAGCCTGAATGTGAACCCACATTGGTCTGACTCCAAGCCCTGGCCCCTATGCCTTCCTCAGCATCCTTTTACTTAAACCTTTATTTATTTAAAAAAAATATTTTTTGTTGATTTCAGAGAGGAAGGGACAGGGAGAGAGAGAAACATCAATGATGTGAGAGAATCATTGATTGGCTGCCACCTGCACGTCCCTTACTGGGGATCAAGCCTGAAACCCAGGCACATGCCCTGACCGGGAATCGAACCGTGACCTCCTGGTTCACAGGGTGACGCTCAACCACTGAGCCACCCCGGGCCGGGCTGCTGACACCTTTCTACTAGACGTTTCCAACCCTGGGACACAGGCCTCGCGAATGAGGAGCCGGCGAGGTGGGGTGGGGACAAAGACCAGCCTGCCCCCACCCCCACGAAGCTCTCGTCCATCCCCGTCAGGACCGGACCTGGCCAGCCCCGAGGCTGAGCCCCTTTCATCCTGGGACCTGCGGCTGACACGTCTCACATCACGTCCCACATCCTCCCGGGCGAAGAATGTCACCTTGCTTCCTATCTGCCTCCCGCGTGGTTGGCTGGGGAAGGGGCCCGCAGGAGCGGGGGTGAGGTTAACCTCATTGTTGTCTTATATGGTCATTTAAATCTCCCAGGGCTTCCTCCGAGGGCCAAAAATAATCCGAGGCGCAGCAGCTGTGTCCAGCGCACAGCGGCCCGGGCCATCTGCTCTGGTTCAGAGCCCTGCGTCTGTCTGTCAGGCTCTCCCCGTCGCGCGCTCCCTCTGTCCTCGGACCTGCCTCTGGCCATGACCTGCTTCTCCTATGCAGAGTACTTTTCCCTCTTTCACTCCTGCCCTGCGCCCTCCAGGTCCGCGGCGCCTCCGGAGAGTGGCGGTTCGGCCCACTTGGGCCTGTTCCAGGGGGTCATGCAGAAATACAACCGCAACAAGGCCTCCCAGCTGGCGTAAGTGACCCCGGCCTGCCCCCCTCCCCCTCCCCGGCCCCTGACCATCCAGGCTCCTCTCCCAAGTGGGACGGTGGGGGAGGAGGGTGGGAAGCCGGCCCCCAGGCCCCAGGCAGGGGGGGCAGTCTGGGGGGACCTCCCAGGCACACCCCTCCCTGGGGTGTCCCCCTGAGACCCAGTGCTCCTGCTGAGCTGGGCTGGGCGGTCACAGACTCTGCCCTCAAGCGATGGCCGGGCTGTGACTGTGAGGAACCTCTCAAAGCCCTGGTCAGGCCCTGTGTGCTGGGGCTCTGAATCCGGGATCCCAGCAGGAGAGCCGGCCCCTGGACCTCGGAGGCCCAGAGGGGTTCAGCGCCCGAGCTGATAAGTCAGCCACACCCTGTCTCAGTCCCCCCACACCTGGGCATCACTGCGGGGGGCAGGTTTGTTTCGCTTTGTTGCCTTTACTAATTAATCGCCGGGTGCTAAAATCCAGAATAACCAAGTTACAGATTACCGGAGGATCTGTTTGCCGGCTCCAGGGTGCTGGGCTAGGTGTGTCCAGGGAAATAGCTCAGTGCCGTTTGCTTCTCTCTCCCCCACATGGACCCCAGACGCCGCTAAAAGCCAAAGAAGGGCCGTCGCTGGCACCCTGTTCGCTTGCCCGGGTATGCTGGGGAGAGGGGAGGAGGCACTGCCAACCTCCGGCTCCCCGGCCCCGGCCCATGTGGAGCCCCCACTTCCTCGGTGCTGCAGGTGGGAGTCTGACTGTGAAAAAGGCTCGGGTTCTGGTCTCGGCCGCCGAGGTTTCCTGTGCGGCCCGAGGACAGAGTGGCCTCCTGGGTCCTGTTCAGGTCCTCGGTTTCTGAGGGCCTGACACCCCAGGGCCACTCCCACCCTCGGGGCGGGACTCTGGCGGGGCTCAGAGGACACTGGGCTGGTGGCGGGACTGAGGGTTTTCTCAGGATGCCGTGCCCCCCAAGGCCGCAGGAACAGCCGGCAGCCTGTCTCCACTCCAACCTGCCCCCGGGGGACCTCCCCCGGGGAGACGGACACATACCCCCGGGGCTCTCCCCCCCCTGGGCCGTCGGGGCTGCTCTGGCCGCTCGCTCCTCAGAGGAACTCGTCAGGGTGGCAGTGATGGCGCTGATGGGGATTCCGGGGCTTATCTGGTCAGTCACCGCCAGCCCGGCCTCCTCGCTGGGTCTGTAGCTTAACTGGCATCTGAGCTCCGAGGCTATTAATAACAGCGAGGCTGAGAGTCAGGGGAAGTCCCTGCGGCTGGAGGAAGCTGTGGGAGGGTGGAGGGCTGGCCCTGAGACCCTCCCTGGGCCTATCCCCGCTGGGACAGGGGTGGGGCCTGCCACTTCTCCACCTGGGAAGTGGGGCCAGGTCTGCAGAACGTTCCACAGGAGTAGATCTGGGAGTCACAGGCATCAATCAGGGTCTTCACTGACTCTCCAAGGGTCGGGGGAGGGAGCTCTGTGAATGCACGCGTGATGAATAATGAATGAATGAATGAATGAACAAATGGAGTGGCTTGAATGAGCCCAGCAGAGAAGTTGTCATTTGTACTAGCCCTGAATTCTTCTTGATATTCGGAGTTTTAAGTTGATGGATTAGTCAGATGGATTAACCCTTCTAGAACATAAGTCTTTCAGCTGCTAAAGGTTCTGGGATGAGGATAAGGGTCAAGAGCAAGAAGAGGGGTGCTGAGTGCAGAATCCCCCTCAGAGGGGCCTGTGCCTTCGTTTCCGAGCTGCTCAGCGTGCCATCGGGCCCCGGGGGTGCAGGTGCTCGGTCAGCGGGGCAGCCTGTGCTCAGGGAAGGTGGTGGGGTATTGCTAACACGGCCACGGGGTCCGTTTTCCGTCCCTTCGGGGGCCGGCACCGTAAACTCCAGTTCTCTGCCCGGACATGGCCCCGGTGCAACACTAGAGCGGCCACTAGCACCCACAGGCCAGAGGGTCCCCTAATTCTCTCAGCCACCCGTGAGCTTTGTCTAAAAGGGACCCCGTTTCCAGCTGTGGACGTGGAGGAGTTTGCCATGCCTCAGCCGTTTCTAGTCGCTTCCCTACGAGGCGGCGTTGGAGATTGAAGCCGTGAAAACGCCCCCGGTTGCCCACAGGGGGTTGGACACGGGCAGGGCTCGGTCCGGACCCACACTCACCTTGTGGCCAGCGTGTCCTCCAGATGCCCCAGGGAGGCATCGCCACACGTTTGGAACAAGATTAAATGCAATTCCCAAAGAAACAAGCAAAACTCTGATAAAAAAAAGACTATCTGTTTGGAAACTGAAGGGATGAAGGTGTGAAATAATTCCCTGGTTCGGAATTTTTCCTTTTTTCCTTCCCCTCTCCCTCCCATCCCTCTTTCTCCTTATTCCTTTCTTCTTTTTTTCTCTTTCTTTCTTTCTTTCTTTCTTTCTTTCTTTCTTTCTTTCTTTCTTTCTTTCTTTCTTTCTTCCTTCCTTCCTTCCTTCCTTTCTTTCTTTCTTCCTTCCTTCCTTTCTTTCTTTCTTCCTTCCTTCCTTCCTTTCTTTCTCTCCTCTCCTCTCCTCTCCTCTCCTCTCCTCTCCTCTCCTCTCCTCTCCTCTCCTCTCCTCTCCTCTCCTCTCCTCTCCTCCCCTCTCCTCCCCTCCCCTCCCCTCCCCTCCCCTCCCCTCCCCTCTCCTCTCCTCTCCTCCCCTCCCCTCCCCTCCCCTCCCCTCCCCTCCCCTCCCCTCCCCTCCCCTCCCCTCTCCTCTCCTCTTCTCTCTCTCTCTCTCTCTCTCTCTCTCCCTCTCTCTCTCCCTATGCAAATATTTACTCAGCACCTATTACGGGCCAGCCACTGATTTGGCCCTGGGAATTGAATCATGAGAAATAAAAGAAAGACACCGCCACCATCTTCTTGGTGCTCACAGTCCAGTGGGGGAGACAGACTGTGGTCACACAATCATTCAAAAACACGGAAGGCCAGTGGTTATATGAGGGCTTATGGCTGGAGGCAGGGAGAGGCTGACCTGGCCAGGCAGGCTGAGGAAGCTGTGACAGAGCTGAGATCTGGAGGGGCCAAGGTCAGGGCCGAGGTGGGGCCAAGCTCCAGGGCACACCCCCGTGGGTTTGGGTTATTCTCCTTATTGCAGAGGATGCTGGTGCAGGGAGTTGAGCTCCTGTCCAGACCAGCAGGGTCAAGCAGGGCAGATGACCCCACAGCTGGCTCCGCTCCTGGCCACGAGCCGGCCTGGCCCAGCCCGTGTCTGCCTGGCTCTGAGGAGGCCCCGCCCCGTTCCCACAGGCCCGTGGACCCTGTGCTGAAGGCCATCAAGGAGGACGACGAAGAGGCCTTGAAGGCCATGATGAAGGAGGGGCGGAACCTCGCCGAGGCCAACAAGGAGGGCTGGCTGCCGCTGCACGAGGCGGCCTACTACGGCCAGCTGGGCTGCCTGAAGGCCCTGCACCGAGGTGAGGCCCGCGCCGGGCGCAGCCGGCCTGGGCGTGGGGCTCCGGGCGAAGGCTCCTCCTCCCACAGCCTCGTGCTCGTGCCCTACAGCCTGGGGGACCAGCTCCACTCCTGAGCTCAGGTCTCCGAGGCGGGGAGGGAGGGAAAACCACTCGTCCCCGAATGCAGTGACCTCCTCTCACCCACCCAGCCTCTCCGGACCTCCCAGGACAGGAGGGAGCCCAGTTCCTAGAAAAGGAAGGAGCGGGGAGCTTGGCTTTGGGGAGAGCTACGGCCAGCTTGTTCTAGAATGTTCCAGAGGCCGTTGTGGTGTGGGAAATACGGCAGCTGTGCCGGTGCCCGCCAAGGCCGTCCCCCACAGCTGTGAGGCTCTGGATGAATCATGCCTTCTCGGAGCCTCGGCCTCCCCCCAAGCCAGATGTAGGCGGGGAACACCTGCAGCAGCACAGACCCCAGACATAGCCTACCGTACCCTCGGGCAGAAACAGCTGCGCGAGACCGAGCTCCCAGCAGTGGCCGCTGGGGCTGTCAGGGAAGGACAGGGTCATTCGCAGGAGGAGGAGGTTCAACCAGGGAAGGCTTCCCGGAGGAGGTGGCATCCGCGCTGGACGAATAGGTCCAGGAAGCTGAAACAGCCCTGTGGAAACTACTGAGTCCAGGGCCGAGGTGACGAAGGCAGGCTGGGTGGTCGCTGTAGGCAGATGCCACGGAAGTCTGTCCTTGGAATTGGGAGGAAGCTCTGACCAGCTCCGTGTTGGGGGTGAGGGGGCAGAGGGGAGAGGCAGGCATTTTTCTCTTTGATGAGCGCACAGCCTGTCCTCCCCAGCATACCCGGCCACCATCGACCAGCGCACCCTGCAGGAGGAAACGGCCCTCTACCTGGCGACCTGCAGGGGACACCTGGACTGCCTCCAATCCCTGCTGCAGGCCGGGGCCGAGCCCGACATCTCCAACAAGTCCCGGGAGACACCTCTCTACAAAGGTGAGCCCCCGGTGGGCTTCCCGGAGGAGGAGTCCAGAAACGAGGTGGGCGATGGGGAGTGCTGGTCCTGAGGTGCAGGCCCCCCGCCCCATGGGGTCTACTGGAAGGGGCAGCCTCACTCAGAGGCATGACGTAGGCCGTTGATTCTCTCATTCGTGCTTGTGTTCGGTCAACGTTTCCCAGGTCCTCCCCTGGGCTAGGCAGGCCGAGGAGCACTGGGGGCTCGGGATGGGAAAGATCCACCCATGCCTGAGCCTTCTCTCAGGCCAGTGGGCATCGGCTCACATGACAGCTAAGGGCGGTGAAGAGCGTGGCTCAAGGCACCAGTGAGCACAGGGCAGGGGCCCTGCCATGGGGAAGGGAGCCCCCAGGAGGGTGTACCTGGGCTGAGCCTGAACAGGAGGGACCTGCCGGCTGGACAAGCAAGGGGAAAGCTCAGGCAAAGACAGAGGTGTGGGAGAGAATTTGTATCTCTGGGATGCTTAAGAAAACCAAAACTGGTGGCTGAATCAATACATCATCCAAGGTTATTGCAACCCTAGCAAGTGCCCAGAGTGAAAATCCGAATAATCCTAACAGCTGGCATGTATTGAGAGCTTTCTATATGCCGGGCACTGTCCTTTTATTTATATACTAGAGGCCTGGTGCACGGATTCATGCACAGGTGGGGGCCTGCCTGCAGGGATTGGGCTGAAACCAACTCTCCAATATCCTCCGAGGGGGTCTCAGAGTGTGAGAGGGCGGCACCCCGGAATTGGGTTCCCTCTTCTCTGGTTCTGGGTGTGTCCCCAGAGAACCACAGCTGCTAAGTCACTGCAGCTCGGCAGCTCCTGAGTTGAGCATCTGTCCTCTGGTGTTCAGTGTGTGTCATAGCTACCAGTTGGACCGTTGCTTAGGCTTTTATATATATAGCATACCCATTTCACAGATGAGAGCCTAAGGCACAGAGACCTGCAATGAGGTACCTAGGATCACAGCCAGGGGTAGACCTGGGATTTAAACTCAGGAAGATTTATATGACAGCTCCATAGCCTGAACTCATACCCTATAAAGCATCTAGTTTGTGCCTACATCAACCTTGGGTCTTGCAAAAGTGAGAGGGCCTCTACGCTCAAAAACTACAATCCCCCCCTCTCCCACGTGCCTGGTATCTGACACCTGGAACATTCCGTAGGTAGTTGGGGCCCGGACCCACTGCAGACCTGCGGTGGAAGTGTCTCCCCCAGAACCCAGGTCCACTCGGCCACCACAGCCATCACCTGGCCCCTCAGCTGTCCCATAGAGAGCTCCCAGAATGCTGGGTGGGAGGCCCTAGGATGCAGGGTGAGAGCTCCCGGGATGTGGGGTGAGTTACAGCCAAAGCTCATGGTCCTGCATGAGCTACAGGTATGTGCTGAGCACCCTGCTAGAACCTTCCATGCTCTGCCTCGCTCAATGCTCCCACAGCGCCTTCTCAGGAAGGTTTTGTCCCCTCTGCTTTTTAGGCAAGGAAACCAAGACTCCGAGGGACGGGGCGCTTCGTCTGGGGTCCTGTCGGAAACACTACACAGGCACCCCCATTCCTCCTTGGCCCCCCGGCTGAGCCGGAGAAGCTGCTGGGGTAGCTCATTGGACAAGTGCCCCAGCTCCCCGGTGACAGCTCTGGCCAGAGCAGAGTGCCCTCGGGGTCTAGAGAGAGAGGAAGCTTAGAAGGGGGGCTGGGGCAGGTTAAGACAGACTTGACGAACTGTATCCAGGAGATAACTTTACCCCAAATTAAGTGAGCAGTCTCTGAGGAGGGGTTTTGAGCAGGAATGTGGCCTGTCCTCCTCCTCAGGCCTTGTCAGTGTGAGAGGCTGACGCAGGTCACACTGGAAACAGTCATGAGGTCAGGCATCCTGGGACATTCAGGGGACAGAGATTTTCTGGACCCAACCACCTGGGTTTGAATCCCAATTCTGCCACTTCCTGTCTGCGTGACCTCGGACAAGATGCTTAACCTCTCTGTGCCTCATCTTCCTCCTCTGTGAAAAGGGATAATAACACTACACGTCTCAGGGATGGTCGGGAGCATTAAATTAGTCAGTCATGTAACATGCTCAGAACAGAGCGCCTGGCACATAACCAGGGCTATACGCACATCAACAAATATTAATGCTAATCAGCGTTACTATTACTTTTAGGTGTATGTCCTATGCAGATACTGAATCTTAGCGCTGACTTGGTGGATATTTGTTGAATGAATGGCTGAGGAGTGGGTGAATGAATGAATCAATGGACGAACAAACGAGTGACGTCTTGGCTGGCCAGGTCCTGCCAGGGACCCTGCTGACCGTCTCGCTTGTCCCCGGGCACAGCCTGTGAGCGCAAGAACGTGGAGGCGGTGAGGATCCTGGTGCAGTACAACGCCGACACCAACCACCGCTGCAACCGCGGCTGGACAGCCCTGCACGAGTCTGTCTCCCGCAACGACCTGGAGGCCATGGAGATCCTGGTGAGCAGCGGCGCCAAGGTGGAGTCCAAGAACGCCTACGGCATCACCCCCCTGTTCGTGGCCGCCCAGAGCGGGCAGCTGGAGGCCCTGAGGTTCCTGGCCAAGCATGGTGAGCGCGGAGGGTCCCTGGGTTATGGGGTCCACCGGGGGTGCAGCTAGGAAAGTCCTCAGAGACCCACCCTGAGGGCAGGAAGTTGAGATGTCACCGCGTGGGCACGCTCTGATCTTCCCGGAGTGCTGTGCCGAGAAGGGTTCTGAGACTGTGTCTGGGCTCCGTGGGAAAGCTCTGGAGATCCACCAGTGACGCCTGAAATTAGGTGTGAACTTGGTGGCGGGGAGGGGCAAGGTGGAGTGGAACACCAGCCCCTATTGGCAATCTCTAAGCTAGCCCAACATCCTGGTTTTACAAATGAGGAATCGGAGGCTGGGAAAAAGAGAAGTGAGCTCTCTGTGGTCACAGAGCAAATCGGTGGGAGAACCAGCCAGACTCTTGGTCTCCTGATACCACAACCACTTCTCTTTCCGCCACGTCACACTTCGGGCCAGCAGGGGCCTGGGGCAAGGTTTAGATCGCTTACAGCCGATGAAACCAGGGACCAGCATGGGAAAGTGATGTGTTCAAAGGCACCCGGCAAATGAGTGGCAGAGCTGGGATTTGAACTCGGGTCTTTGTACTCGTAATGGACCCGCTGACTGGAGAAAGTAAAACAATATTGCCTATGGCAGATGTGCTTGTGGTTAAAGAGCATTACCGGTATATCTTTATCTCCCCCAACAACACTTCTGATCTTTATTCTCTCTCTCTCTGGAAAGTGACCCTCCCTCTGGCAACAGAGAGGCCGGAGGTAAGCCAGACCCTGGGGCAGAGCTGGAATAATTTGTTGAAGACCTACTATGTGTCAGACACCGTAGTAAGCAGGAACACAGATTAGGCCAATGTCGTTTTCCCCATAGTCTTGTCACCGAGGCTCAGAGGTTAGATGACTGGATCCTGTCAGAGCCTGGATTGTGACCACATCCATCTGATCCCAACCTGCATGTTCCTTGCACGCGGCCACCCCACTGGGCCTAGCTGCACCCTTGTGGGACTTGGCTCAGATAAGCATCCCCTTCACATGTGCCCGCTCAGTTAGGGGAACAGACCCAGGCACTTCCTCCAGCCAGGGACGAATCCTGACCCACCGGCTTGAGGACAAAGGGGCACAGGCAGGGTCCTGGGAGCCAGGCAAGGGGGCTAGGCCAAGGGCAGGGTCTCGGCAGGCGGGGACCAGCCGACTCTGCACATCTGCGGAGCTCTCCCGCGACGCAGGGTCAAGGCCTGCTCCCCCGTGGGCTGAGTCCATCTTTAATCCAAATATTTTTCCTGTGCGAGCAGCCAGCAGGGTCCAGGCTTCCAGGGGGCCCGACTGTGAGCTGGGGTCAGAGCTGCTCGCCGATGCCCCCTCCGGGGCAGAGGGCCGGACCTGTCCCTGTGCCCAGCCCCCTCCACCCTGGATAGCTGCCATTTGCAGGCACCTCCTCTGGGCCAGGTCCCGGAAGGCAAGGCTATAACAGACTGCAGACTGGCTGGCTCACAGATGACAGGAGCTGTTTCTCACCACCGTTCCAGAGATTGGAAGTCCATGGGCAAGGGCCTGGCAAATTTGGTGCCTGGTGAGGGCCCGCTTCCTGATTCATAGACAGGCGTCTTCTCGCTGTGTCCTCACAGGTTGGAAAAGTGAGAGATCCTCTGAGGTCCATTAAGGGGGAAAAAAAAAAAAAAAATATATATATATATATATATATATATATATATATATGTTGTTGATTTTTTCAGAGAGGAAGAGAGAGGGATACAGTTAGAAACATCGATGAGAGAGAATCATCGATCAGCTGCTCTTGCACACACCCTCTACTGGGGATGTGCCTGCAACCAAGGTACATACCCTTGACCGGAATCGAACCTGGGACCTTTCAGTCTGCAGGCTGATGTTCTATCCACTGAGCCATATATATATATATATATATATATATATATATATATATATATATATATATATATAGTTTATTTCAGAGAGGAAGAGAGAAGGAGAGGCTGAAACCTCAATGGTGAGAGAGAATCATTGATCAGCTGCCTCCTGCACACCCCCTAGTGAGGATCAAGCCCACAACCCGGGCGTGTACCCCAACCGAATATTCAACTGTGACCTCCTAATTCCTAGGGCGATGCTCAGCCACTGAGCCATGCCATTGATTAGGGTGCAAATCCCACTCCTGGGGGTTCCAGATGGAATCACCTCCCAGAGGCCCCATCTTGTACCAGCACCCCGTTGGGGCTTAGGTTTCAACCGATGCATTTTGGGGGGACCCCGTCTACAGCAGATATTTACTTATCCTCGCAGCATCCCAATTATTGGGTTCCGTTATTCCATCAGCAGACGAGGGAAGGGGGCTCCTGAGGGCTGCCCAAGGCCACGGAGGTGGTAAGACAGAAGCCTCACCGGTCCTTGTCTGTCCCCAGAGCCTGTGCTCAGTCCACTTGGCCAGAAATCGGTCATCAAAAAGGAACGCTCCTCAGAAAACCTGAGCTGAGCAGGGGGCCCGAGGGAGGAGCTGTGGTGACCAGACACTTTGGATTTCAGCCCTTCCCGACTGTCCACTGCCTCTCGGTTCCATTCCTGCCGAGTAAGAGGGGCTGCGAACGGTCCCAGAAACCGGAGCCCTTGGCTCTCCGGCTTGCTGCCAGGAGGTGGAGGGGCAGAGGGAGACTGGCACCAGGCTGGCCTCCCCATCCTGTCCGCAGAGAGCAGTGTCCTTTTCTAGGGAGACAGGAAGCCATTCCTCGTCTGTTCTTGGAAACGGAAGGCAGAGGTGGGATGGTTGTTGGGGTTCTTCTTTCCTAGGGGGCTCTGTGCTCCCTAAGACCTGTGAGGGCCTTCCTCACTCCGGCCCGGGCTGCTTTTACACGGAGAGGCGGGGAGGAGCCTGGCCTCTGCCATCAGGCCATCTCTCATGCCTCTGCCATCAGGCCATCTCCCATGCCTCTGCCATCAGTCCCACCATCTCCCATGCCTCTGCCATCAGTCCATCTCCCATGCCTCTGCCATCAGTCCATCTCCCATGCCTCTGCCATCAGTCACACCATCTCCCATGCCTCTGCCATCAGACTGCTCAGGTTCAAGTTCTGGCTCTTTACGTATGAGCTGGTGGGTCTGGGGCAAGTTGCAGAGGTTCTCTGTGCTACGGAGCACAGAGATGAGGGTAGCACTGATCACGCGGGGTCGTGCCGTGGAATCAAAGACACAACCATGTGAAGCATGGTGTCCGGCGCACAGCAAGTGCTCACTAAATGCCAGCTCTGTGCGACAGCTTTTCACCCCCGAGGGACCTCTGTGTTACAGAAGGGAGTTGGGGGTCCTCAGGGGGGACCCATCCTTTCTAAGGACCCAATGTGTCACGGAGGTTAGCACGGCCCAACAGGGACCTCCCGCCAGGGACAGTGACGCCCTGACCGCTCCCCGGTCTGCCTCTTCTTCGCCAGGTGCTGACATCAACACGCAGGCCAGCGACAGCGCGTCGGCCCTCTACGAGGCCTGCAAGAACGAGCACCAGCTGGTGGTGGAGTTCCTGCTGTCGCAGGGCGCCGACGCCAACAAGGCCAACAAGGACGGCATGCTCCCGCTGCACGTCGCCTCCAAGAAGGGCAACTACAGGTCAGCCCAGACCCGGCCTCCCCCAGCTCCCCACCCCCTCCTCTCCCTCACAACCCACCCTGGGGGGCTCCGGCTGTCCCGCCCCCAGGATGAGGAAGGCTCTGTCAGAGAGGGCACCTTTGGAGGGTAAGAGGAAAAGCACTGGCCAGCTGGCCAGCTAGAGTGAACGCCCACAGCTGCAGCAATGACAGTGATATGTATGTGTGTACAGACCTGTGCACACCTCCTCCCACCAGACCCCTCCCGAGCAGTATGCTTCTCTCATCTTGCTCAAAGTACAATGACAGTGATAAAGCCAACACTAGCTCCGACCACCACTCTCCATGAGGAACTAATTTAATCCTCTGGATAAGCCCACTTTGAATGATCCTTTGAACGGATCTTCCCAGCTAAATACTGTTATCTCTGTTTTTCTAATGAGGAAGCCATGACACAGAGAGGGTGAGCGATCTGCCCAAAGTCACACAGCTGATAGATGGTAGGAATTCACCCAGCCCTGATGTCACCTCTATAGGAATCCCACTCAAGGCGCCAGATACGCATCTGGACGTGAGGTTATTTCTGGTGAGGATGCAAACACAACCATTAAGGCGATAAGCCAGCATGCTAGATGCCTACAATAATATTATACTAATAGTATCCGTGGTAATAGCTCACCTGTTCTGAGCACTCTGTGTGGGTACTTTGAGCAAGATGAGAGAAGCATACTGCTCGGGAGGGGTCTGGTGGGAGGAGGTGTGCACAGGTCTGTACACACATACACACACGAATTCATGGCATAATGAAAGAGCATGCCACAGTGGTCCCAGAGCACACGGGAAGCAGAGCTATGCTAGAGCTGGTCAGTACCGGCTTACATGAGCTGACTGTTCACGTTTATAGCCTGAAATGGGCCATGGTGACAGAGAGTGTTTACACCACAGAAACTGGTGCATGCTACAAATCACGGGCTCCTCCAGACAAGTTAACCGTGTAGCCCAGCGATTTTCAGCCTTTTCCATCTCATGACACACATAATGAATTACTAAAATTCTGCAGCACACCAAAAGATACGCTGTGTTTATTTGCTGATCCGACATTAAAAAAAGGTATGATTTTGATATATTTACACCAGATGGCTATTGATATATTTACACCAGATGGCTATTGTTGTCTTGGTTGTAGTCATTTTTTTTATTTGACAGTCCAAGGGGGAAGAGGTCAGTGCCCCTGACTAAATAGCCAGGTAGTGCATGTTTTAAACATTGCTGTGGCAGCAACTAGTATCTTAGCGTCCATTTTGCAGCTGACATGTAACAGAGACATGCATTTTGGACCTCACTTTTGACCTCCTTGCTCTTAAATATTCTTTCTGTTTTACTTTTAATTTATACTATCTTTGCAAGCCATTTAAAACTCTAAGAAAAGGCAGAATAGATAACATTTAGTAAATTAAATTAAAATGTAGCTTATAAAGCATGTTCTCAAGCAAGTTAGTACCCCCATGGACTACAAGGGAAACTGAGGCTCAAAACTCAAGGCCTTACAGGAAGTAAGAGGGGAGCGCCTGGGCCCAGGCCTCATTCCCCACCCGCCTCCTGCAGGAAGCTGGCTGGCTGCCTATGTCTTCTGCGGGAAATGCTGAGAGTTGGCATCCGTGTGTCTCAAGGTGTGAGGCAGGGGTCACCTGCAGCAGACTCCCAGGTCCCCCCGGCCTGCAGAGCCCAGGGCTCTGCATTTTCAGCAGCTCCCTGAGTGACTCTGAGTAGCACTGTGATGAGAACTGACGGTTTGCATGCTCAGCAAGCTCCGCTGTGTGCCTGCCCTTCCTCCTTCACGGAGGACCTGCCTCCTGCTGCAGCTCCCAGCAGCTCCTGCAAACGCTGCCCACTCCTGGGCGGGGGCCCTCTGTGCCCTGGGACACCCTGAGGCAGGGGCTCCACTGGTGGACCTTTGCTGGCTCCAGCATGAGCATCACATGGGTTCAAGAAGAGATAACAGCCCCCCCCCCCAAACACACACACACACACACACACACACACACACACACACACACACACTCACACTCACACGCAGGGCTGACACAGAGCAGCTCAGCGGTATTGGCCACGGAGCCGTCTGTGGGCAGCTGGTTCCTTTGTGAAAGTCTCGTGCACAGTCAAAATTACCCTGAACGCTGACAAAGGTCACACCACCGTGACCCGGAGACCCAGAATGCCTCTACATCTTAAGCAGCGGGCAGTGTGCTATATAATCACCCAAGATACCAGTAACTACCACTTACCGAGTGCCTACTATGCGCAGCTCAGCTTAACTTGCAAGATCTCATCTTATGCTCAATAGCAATCTCAGTGAAAGTATTATTACATTGTGTTTTGTAACCTGGGCAGAGCTATCGACCTTGCTGATTGGTTACGGAGAGAGAATGGGATCAGCTCATAGGATCAGTTCTGGAGGGGCAGGGAACGGGGCCTCTTAGACACCGAGGGTTCTATCGGGCAATGGTCACCTCTGCTCCTCTTCCTAAGGTGCCCTTTGAGCAGGAAGCACCCTGTGGTCCCAGGACCTGCCCAGGGAGAAGGGGGAAGGCCCAGCCTGTCCTCCAGCCCACAGGAGGGGCTCGGGAGAGAGGTGATGACATGGATAATGCAGTAGGGATCCAACATGGCCACTCCCCTGTGTTAAGTGGACTGGGGCACCATGGAAAGGTCTGGCCTTGGACATATATCCTGGCCTGGCTTTGCCATTCACCTCCGGTCCAACCTCACTCTTATTCCTGCCCTATGCCCATGCCTCAGTTTCCCCCTCTGTAGAATGGTACGGCTGGACACACTAATCTCCAGACCTGTAGCATCATACATTCGTGTTCAGGTTGGCAAAGTCCTACAGAGGCGACGGTAAGAGGGTATCACTACGTCATCGAGATGCTGCTTCTGGGCATCTAGGCGGCATCCAGTCAGGTCCCCACATTTCGGCCGCTTTCCCTTCGTTCAGTGGGGGTTGCTCGAGACCCGCTGTGACCTGCCAGAGAGACCAGCTCCATCTGGCGGGTGGCCCAGGGCAGTCCCTCTTGCTGTTTTTTCCCGAGCCCGGGCAGGTTACGGCTGTTAGCGAGCATTTGTTGCCAATGGCCTCAGTCCAGGGTGAGGCCCCAGCCCTGCCTTTGACCAGCACCTCTGCAGAGCAGGGTCAGGCCTCCCGTGCCTGCACAAATAGGAATTAGGAGGCAATTAGTCCCCCTGATGTGTGAATTTCCTTTTGAGGTTTCAGACGAATTTCCTTTTGAGATTTTAGGTAAATAAAGCATTACTAACAATAATAACATTTCCCACCAAGGCCCTAGCAGAGGTTGCTGGCATTAGATTCCCAGGAAGCAGGGAAATCAGCGTGCCAGGAGGCAGAGAGGCGTGGGAACAGGCCTGGTGGCACCGCCTGGCCCTGCCATGGCCACCTCCTTGGAGCCCACACGGGGCCGAGAGGTCACCTGTCATCAAGGATTAGACAGATTAGGGTCTGGAATCACCACAGAAGCTTGTTCCCACAGGTGGCAAAGGTCCAGGGAAAGACAACAAGAGACAAGGGGTCTAAGAGAGCTGGGGTCAAGCCCCCCAGAACTGCTTTACGCCCCTTGGTTAGTCACTTCATTTCTCTGAGCCACAGACCTGCTCTGGCTACCTCGCAGGGCTGCAGGGAAGGTCAAACGGGACGGACAAGTAGTGCATCACGGAGAATGCAAGGCCCCATGACACATCTGCTACCCAAAACGTAAGGGGGTGGTTAAGAGGGTGGCCCTCTCTGTAGGGGGGGATCGGACTCCCTGCATTCAAATCCTGGCGCCATCACTTACTGGCTGTGCACCCTTGGGCAGGTCACACACCCTCTCTGGGCTTCTGTCTCCTCATCTGTAAAGGAGGATGATACTAGTACCCACCCCCTAGGGCTGTTGGGAGGGCATAACAGAGTAACGCAGGTGAAGTGCTGACGGCTGTGCTGACAGTACTAGTGCTTAGTACACTTTGGTGGCAGGGACGTGCTGATTCAGCAGGAGAGAGCAGCCCAGGGATCTCCAGCCTCAGCAGGGACTGTCCAGCCCACTCCAGGCCACAGGCAGAGCAGGGAGGCTGGGAGAGGCTGGAGTCAGACTTCAGCATAAGAGGCACTGAGACTTACAGGACAGCGGGGAGGTGACTTCATGGTCATCCAACTCCACCGCTCACTGGCTATGTGACTTTGGGAAGGCGGCTGAAGCTCTCTGAGACTCAGTTTCCCTCTCTGTGAAGCAGGGATAGCAGCAGACCCACCCCTTCCAAAGGGAGTCACTGGGGAGGCTGGCCGGCTCCTCAGCGCCCCCTGCCGGCAGGCCCGTGCCTCCCTCCCACCCTCCCTCCCTCCCTAGAGCAGTTGCGAGGGGCCGAGCCCGGTCCCTCAGCGCCCCCTGCTGGACCGTGACCGGCGCGTGCGCGCTCCGCCTTGCAGGATCGTGCAGCTGCTGCTGCCGGTGACCAGCCGCACGCGCGTGCGCAGGAGCGGCATCAGCCCGCTGCACCTGGCGGCCGAGCGCAACCACGACCACGTGCTGGAGGCGCTGCTGGGCGCGCGCTTCGACGTGAACGCGCCGCTGGCGCCCGAGCGCGCGCGCCTGTACGAGGACCGGCGCAGCTCGGCGCTCTACTTCGCCGTGGCCAACAACAACGCGCACGCCGCCGAGCTGCTGCTGCGGGCGGCCGCCGACCCCAACCGCGACCTCATCAGCCCCCTGCTCGTGGCCATCCGCCACGGCGCGCTGCGCCTCATGCAGCTGCTGCTGGACCACGGCGCCAACATCGACGCCTACATCGCCACGCACCCCACCTCCTTCCCCGCCACCATCATGTTCTCCATGAAGTACCTGTCGCTGCTCAAGTTCCTCATGGACCTGGGCTGCGACGGCGAGCCCTGCTTCTCCTGCACCTACGGCCAAGGCCCGCACCCGCCCGCGCCGCCCCCGTCCGGCAGGTTCAGCAACCTGCCCGCCTGCGACAAGGCGCCCTGCGTGGTCCAGGTAAGGGTGTGTGTGTGTGTGTGTGTGTGTGTGTGTGTGTGTGGAGGGTGGGGGGTTGGAGGGAGGGAGGGTGGGGGACTGGAGGACCAGGCCCACATGCTTCAGAGGCGGCAGTGAATGCCTTTGGAGGGCCTGTGGATTAGCAGTGAGTGCACTTCGGTGGCAGGGGGACCGGGTGGTGAGAATGTTTTAGAAGCAGCAGGACTTAGGGATTCACAGGAACCGTTAAATCCGTTCCGGTCTGCTGTCTTGGGGGATTTAAGGAAGGAACAGCGGAGCAGGGGAACTCTGCAAAAACAAGAGGTCATCACCCCCAGCCAACCCGTGGCTGGAAAGGATGTGGATGGAGGTGAGAGCAGGTTGGTCCTAGGTCAGGTGAGATGCAGGGTCAGAGCAGGACCTGTCCATGGTGACGACTTAAGAAGTCAGCCCTAACCGGTTTGGCTCAGTGGATAGAGCATTGGGCTGCAAACTGAAACGTCCCAGGTTCGATTCCGGTCAAGGGCATGTACCTTGGTTGTGGGCACATCCCCAAAAGGAGATGTGCAGGAGGCAGCTGGTCGATGTTTCTAACTCTGCATCCCTCTTTCTTCTTCTCTGTAGAAAATCAATAAAAAAACAAAAACAAAATAAGGAGTCAGAACTTAACATCAAAGGAAGTTAGAGCACCCTGCTCTTGGAGATACAGAGGCTAACAGCCATCACTGATGGGCCACCTACTGTGTGCAAAGAAGATGATGCACATACCACCTTAGATCTCATAAACCCTTGAAGTGGATTTATGAGAGCTAAAATATACCCTTGAAGTGGGTTTATGAAAATATACCAGTGTTCTAGATGAGGAAGTTGAGGTTTAGAGAGCTGATGCAAGTGGCCTCAGTTGCCCACCGCCCATTTTTGGCAGCAGAGGCCTGTGTTGACGAGAAAAGGGCCTGGATCCTACCTGGGTGTGCCCAGTGTCTGTCCTCGGACAGGGCCCTGAGGCCGCCACCCGCAGGATGAGCTGGCGGGGGCGGTGCCCTCGTCCCGGGCGTCCCAGCGCGGTGTGTGCTCCCTTTCAGTTCTGCGAGATCCTGTCCGCCCCCGAGGTGAGCCGCTGGGCGGGGCCCATCATCGACGTCCTCCTGGACTACGTGGGCAACGTGCAGCTGTGCTCGCGGCTGAAGGAGCACATCGACAGCTACGAGGACTGGGCCGTCATCAGGGAGAAGGCAGGTAGGGCTGTCCCTGCGGCTGGCAGGTCTCGCTGCCCGGCTCCGGGCTCTGAGCGTGTGACCCACCTGCTCTGGGCCAGGCCCTGTGCTGTGGGTCACACACGGCGTCTTCGGGATTCTTTGTTTTGTCACCGAGGAGACTGGCCCGCAGGGACGATGTCGCCTGGGCCAGGATCTCACCGCTGGTCAGTGGCAGATCTGGGATTCAAATCCAGGGGTGACCCACTCGAGTCCTTCCACTAAGTCCTTCCGGGATGTTTTCAACATTTCCGGCTGCCTAAGGCCATCGGGGCGCTCAGAGCAAGTTGCCCACGTTTTGTGGGCCGCTGAGCGGCAGCCCGGTGAGGTCCAGGGAAGAACGCCGACCTAGAGTGTCCCACACTGCAGAGGGCATGTGACACACACGGCATCTTATATAAAAGCGGGAGCTGGAGCTGGCTCAGCGGGTCTAGGGCAGGGCCTAGGAGCCTGCATCTCAGCATGCCGCCAGGCGGTGCCAGTGCTGCTGGTCTGCAACCCCCCCTGGAGCAGCACTGGTGTGGGGGGCGGCCCCCTGAGCGTGGGGCCAGGAGCTTGCGAGGTGGCCGTGGGCCTCAGTATCCACATCTGAGCAGTGGAGCGTGGGCGTGTCCAGCCCTCTTCAGCTGTGCCAGCCTGAGGTGCCCGGTGCAGGGAGGTGGGGTTTGGCCAGCGTCCAGCTGCTGTGTGCAGAGTCGGTGGGGCAGCCTGGCTAAGCCAGTTGGAGAATCCCTCTTAAGCACTGGAGAGCTCCCTGGGCAGGTGAGATGTCAGAATCAGTGGGACCGAGAAGTGGGTGTCTGCCCAGAGGGGTTCCGGCTGCCCCCGGCTCTCTCTGGCTCCGAGGGGCACAGTCCCAGCTCTGGCCGAGTGTCAGTCCTGTAGCGCAGAGACTGACAGGCGGCAAGTGGTACTGTACCCCCGCTGCTGCCTCCCCCGGGTGAGACCATGCTGGCTCATTGCCTGTCCAGGTGCCCCATGCCCCAGGGCCCGACTCTGACTTTCCAGGTTCTCCCTGATCCCCATGCCGCTGTGAACCTAAACCTACTGTCAGAGTTTGCATTTGGACACGTGCCTGGGAAGCACTTGAACTGAGACCCCCTGATAAAGTTCCCGGGCCGGCAGCAGGGGCGGATGGCTTGGGCACAGCCCTAGATGCTCCCTGGGCGTTCACTGACTCATGAGTCATTGGTTACGGTCACCGTGACCTTCCTCGGCCGCTAGAGGGTGGAGCAGTTCGTGCTTGGATGCTGGCCTCGCCCCTCACTGTCCCCTCCCGCTCTCCTCAGTAGAGAAAGCTCATCCCTCACAACTAGACAGCGTCCCAGGGGAAAAGAGCAGAACCAAACACCTAGTGACAAACAGGCAGAGCAAATAGTTCTGAACCGGTAGCTGCTTGGTTGCCGTAAAGCCCACCTCCATCTGCAGAACACGCCGTCTGTGCTTTTTCCTTCGATGCTGTGAAGCTGATGTTGTTATCCAGGAGGAAGGGTGGGCAGAGGCTCTGAGAGGTGGCCCGTGAACCCAGTCCCCTAAGTTATCCAGGCCACCAGCCCAGGCCTGGGGGTCCGGGTCCTCTGCCCACCTTTGCCTCTCCATCCCCCAGGTTCAGTCTTCGCTCGCCTGAGAAAGGGGCAGGCTTCCCAGCGGGCAGGCTCTGTCCTGAGGGAGACGGAGAGGCAGTGGGAGTGTCAGAGGTGCAGCGATGGCACGCTCTCATCTCGGGAGGCAGCGCCTCGGCTGCCTGGCCCCTCTGTCCTCCCCCACGTGCCCTCTGTGCCCGTCTTCCCTGGGCCTCCTTGGCCTGGCACTGACTGATGTGCCCCCTGCTTGGCATGCCCCTGCCTCCCTTCCTCGCCTGGCAAATCCCTGCCCGATTGTCAATCCCCGCGCAGATGGCAGCATGCGGTGAGAGAGCCTTCTGCCCCTCGCTGTCTCAGACTGGCCGCAGAGCCAGGCACAGCGAAGGGGGCGGCATGCGTTTGTTAAATGAGTAAATGATTAGGGCCTTCTCTGATGCCACAAACATCTTCCCTGTGCCAGACCTTGTGCCCAGGGCTGAAATAAATGGCCCCATTACTGGTCGTATCAGTTCCTGTTTTTACCTCCTTCCCTCTGCCCCCCTTCCTTCCCTCCCAACCCCTCAGCAGCTGAGACAATTCCACTGTCGTCCTTTCACTGAGGGGCCGCCCGGCGAGGCAGCCAGGTGGGATTCTGGAACCTGGGACCTGCTGGTCCCTGCCTGGTCCCTGCCCGGTCCCTGCCCCGTCTCTGCACCCCCGGAGCCCGGAGCTGAACTGCATGCACGGGGCATGTAATAACTTGGGTTCCTTCCCTGCTGCTGAGGGCTTTGTTGAGGGTCCAGGCTGTGTGTGCAGAGGAAGAAGCAAACCCTTCTCGGGTTGCAAACGACAGGCCAGCATCTCTCTGTCCTTTTCCCAGAACCTCCGAGACCTCTGACTCACCTTTGCAGGCTGCAAGTTCGAAAGGCCATTGGCAAATACCGTCTCAAACTCCTGGACACATTGCCGCTCCCCGGCAGGCTGATTCGGTACCTGAAGTATGAGAACACCCAGTAACCAGGGCGCTGGAGAAGGCGTGCCCTCAGACTGTTTCACTGGATCTCAGGACTGCTGTCCCCACGTCCAGGGGCCCTGCTGATGGCCGGGGCTGAGGGCTGCTCCCCCTGAGCTGGGGCAGCCGCTGTGACCTCACCGGGTCTCTGGGCCAGAGCTGTGCCCAGAGTAGAGAGCGGAAGATGTCAAGGAGGAGGGAACTCCTGTTTCTTTGCAAATGGACGAGCGAATCCCAGACCTTCTCTGCCATCGGGAAGGGCAGGAACTTCTGATCTGGGGTGGGGTGGGGCGGGGGCGCTGGAGCGCTCAGGGCTGAGTGTGCCTTTCTGGACAAGTTCCCTGTGGAGCTGGCCCTGCCCCTGCCCCTGCCCCTCTGCCCTGTGAACCCCTCCCACAGGTATGGCCTGTGGGGGGGCCTGGGGAGACCCTCGGTCCCAGAGGGCTTCCTGGTACAATAAACGTTGCACAGATGCCTCCTTGCCCAGCGTGGTCCCTCTCACCAGACGCGCCAGGGCCTGGGCCCGCAGCCCTGCTGTGGCGGGCGGGGGGGGGAGGGGGCGGTGCGGCGGGGGCTGGGGACAGGGCACACGGGTCAACCCGGTTTGGGCTGCCCCAGCCCCTGTGCGGCTCTGTGGGGTGAGCCAGGCAGGAGCTGCCGCCACCTTCGATGGTGCAGGGAGAAAGCCGAGTCCCCTGCGCTGAGCCCAGCACCCCGGTTTCACAGACGCTGCGGGGACTCCCCAGAGTTCTCCTCCCCGGTGTGACGAAGCCCTGGAGGGGACCTGGGCGGGCCGCCTCGCGGAGCGCCACCTCGTGGAGGGCCTGTGCCGGCTGCCCCGGGATCTGGAAGAGTCTTAAGCCGGTCACACCTGGTTTCAGGCCCTGGGAAGCGAGCGCTGGGCCGTGCGGGGGGGCCTGGTCTGCATCCAGCTCTGCCTGAGCTCGCTCCTCTGGCGCCTCGGGCTCCTCATCGCTGTGGCCCTCAGGGCCTCGCCAGCTCCCACCTGCCAGCTTTGCAGAGAACCGTTGAGTCCCGGCGTCTGCCCGGAGGGGAGAAGCCCAGCAGCACTTCACAGCCACGTCAGAGGCAATCAGCGGGGCGGGGCTGCTCCCTCGTGGTCCCGATGGGCCCGGGCACACGCAGCCAGTCCCGGGGGTTCCAGCCGGGGGTGCGTGGTCACGGCCCCATGCTGCCGTGCTCCAGAGATCCTGAAAAATCCATGGAAACCGGGCCCTCCCAGACCGAGGGTGTTCATCCCTGCTGGGCGCGGTGGGGGGCAGTGATGGGCTGGGGCAGAAAATGTTCAGGTGCCATCAGTGTGGGGCTGGCTATCAGGCCGACTCGTCATCTGTGGCCTTCTCTGCTCACTTTGGGGCCTGCAGGGTCCTGACAGGCAGTGCCCCAGGCACCCAGGGAGGTCGAGGGAGAGGCGCCAGGAGAGGGGAGGTTGAGGAGGGAGGCGGGAGGGGGAAAGAGGGAGGCGAGGCCACGGCCTGTTGGCACCATTTACTTACAGGATGTGGGGCTCCTGGGCTCGGGATTGAACCCCAAACCTTCACATATCAGGACAACGCTCCCTCAGCTGAGCTGCCACTCCTTCAGGACTGGCTTCTTGGGTGATGGATGTTTATCCATGTCGGCTGCTCACAGCCACTGGTCAGGACCCTTTCCTTCCAAGGGCCTTGGCCAGCCTTGGCCTCCTCAGGTCGCTTCTGAGTAGCTAGCCCTCAGGCTGTGCAGCTGGTACAGCTTTAGGCCATCACCGCTGGGTTTCACAGTCACCCCCCTCTACAGACCCCCCCCCCCCACATACACACACATGCTGCCCCAGCCCTCCTCCCCGCCCCCACTCCGCCCCGCACAGGATTCAGCCTCAGCGATGTCTCCACAGCGTCTCCAAACACTCAGAGCCCTGAACACCGCTCCTCGCCGGCCCCGGTGCCCGGACCTGAGGCTGATCAGGCGATGGGCTCCCGCTTCACCTTGAACGAGGTCGGTTTGTGTTCTGGGCGGGAGCAGCAGCGCTGAGGCCTTCCCGGGTGTGTGTGCCCCTCCCTGCTGCGCCCACGTGGGCACTCAGGGTGCCAGCACTTACCCTGAGCCGCGGCTCAGTCAGGTTTCCTGCCTCCAGGCAGGGCCTCCCTGGTCTGAATCCATACACGTCCAGCTCTGCCCCGGGGAAGGCCGAGTGGACCGCTGTGGGGCCAGGCACCGTGGGCTCGGGCAGCGCCCCCCCGGGGAAACAGGCCTCCCGGAGCGCCGTTCTCTCTCAGGGCCCGGGGGAGGCTGGACGGCCCGTCCGTAGCATCGCTGACATACCAGCACGGCAGGACCAGCAGACACTGCCAGCAACCGGGGGAGCTGGCCTTTGCTGCGCAGCCTTTCCCTGCGCGGGCAGCAGCACTCACATCATCCCCACATCGACCCACCACGCAGGCCTCTTGTCCTTGATGAGGAAGTTGTGGCACAGAGAGGTTGAGTAACTTTTCTAAGGTCACACAGCTAGTGGGTGGCAGAGCCCGGATTAGTGCTTTTCCGTGAGGAGGGGCTGAGCCTCATCAGAATGGATCCACACGCGTGTTACTGGTCCCCTCCCTGCTCGTTAAGACCGGAGCAGCGGAGGGGAGGGTCCTGGAGAGGTCTCCCTGTCCACTCTGCCTGTGCCACTCAGCCTCGGTGGCCCCGAAGTCCTCCCAGACCAGCGGACATAGGCCACTTCCCAGGGAGGGCTGCCCGTCCTGTGGGTGGGCCTTCGGGGAGCCCGGGTGGGAAAGCCCCTCTGCCGTCGCTAATCCGGGAGCCTCATGTGTGGAAGGTGTCTGAGTCCTCATCAAAGTGACGCCACCACAGAGGGACCATTGCGTCCCTCCACCGCCCTCCGCAGGTGGGCAAGGAGGCCCGGGGAGAGGTCCCACGCAGGACACGGCTCCGACCCCCGGCACCGTCCTTCCTGGCGGCTCGCCACCCGCTCCCTCCTCTGAACTGGGCGGCTGGCCTCCAGCGCCCACGCCTGCTGCTGCCTCCCCCGCTGTCCCCTCCACGGCAGCCCTCCTCCTGGGTGCAGCCAGCACTGCTCAGGCCGGGGGACCATTCACCTTCCCGAGACCCAACATGTGGAAACTGCAAAAGAAATGCCTTTATTCTTTAAACCTTCTTACTATTTACAAAGAACAACAAAAACAGAACTGAGAGGGCTTACAGAGTGGGTGGCTGAACAACAGATGTGTAACTGGGCTTTGGGGGGGGGGGGTGCTGGCAGACCAGGCCTGCCAGGGCGGGGGGTTGCAGGGGGGGGGGGGGGAGGAGGATCTCTCGGGCTCTGACCGCAGGGGGACTTGCTGAGCCCGGCCCGCTCCTCACAGGAAGGCCGGGCCCAGTCCTGCCCCCCCCCCCCGCCCCCCGACACATAGAAAGGAAAGATTCTCAAGAGGCCACACCGAGGCCCGGCCCGCTCCACACAGGGAGCTCCTGGGACCCAGCACGCCCGCAGGCCGGAGCGGGGGGTGAGGCCCGCAGCCCCCCTAGAGGTAGCCAAAGACGTTGAAGATGGGCGGGGGCATGGCCGGCTTCGTGGGGATGGGCTTCAGGACCACGGGCCTGTACACCTTCTGCCCCGGGCCGTCCGCCTCCTTGGCCAGGTGGGCCAGCTCCCCGGGGGAGGCCGGGCTTTTCCGCCACAGGCCCAGGCCGGGCCCCGGGCCCTGCGCCAGGGCCCCCGGAGGGCCGGGGTACATGGGCTGTCCGTGGTACTGGAAGGGGCAGCAGCTCCAGGCATTGACGCGGCCCACCAGGGAGACCCCGGGCAGCTTGGGGGGCTCCTTTTCCGCCGGCGCCCTCGGGGTCATGGGGATCAGGGCCACCTCGGGCCCCAAGAGCTCCAGGCCCCTGCAGTGCTTCTTACACTCGTAGGGAGGCCCCTCTCGGGGGCCCAGCACCCCCTCCAGCGCCACGGGGTAGCTGTGGGTGGGCCGCGGCTCCTCCCAGAAGGAAGCGGGCAGCTGTCTTTTCCTCATGGGCACCTGGCCAGGCCTGGCCGCTCCCGGATGCTGCCCCTGTAGGCTCTGCTCCCTGGAGAGGCACTCCTCCCGGTAGGGGTTCCCCAGAGCCTTCTCCTTGCAGTCCCCGCCGCCGCTAGGGCTGGCCTCGGGGCCGGGGCGGAGGGGCAGCCCCCCGGGGCGGTCCTCGGGCGCCCTCCTCAGGGCGGGCTCTGCCCCGCAGCCCGGGAGGCCCCGCGGCAGCCGCAAGTGCTTCTGGGAGAAGCGCTTGAGCTGCTTCTGCAGGTACTTGCGGTGGTCCACGGAGCGGCGGCACGGCGCCGACTTGTCCAGCGCCGCCTTGATGTCGCTGGAGGCCAGGTTCACGAAGTTCAGCAGCATCTTCACGTCGCTGTCGGCCGCCATCACCAGGGGGGCCACTTCACCGGGCTTTCCATGAAGAGGGCGGGCTGCTCGGGGGTGGGCAGCTCCGGGGAAGGGCACAGAGCGGACCTGGGGGACACGCGGGCCATTGGAGTCTCTCCGAGCAGCCGGCTCAGCCCTCCCAGAGGCCACGTGGCTGCCAGCAGGGGCCCCGGCCCCGGCCACCTCCCCCCCCCCCCCCCCCCCGCAGCCCCAGGCAGAGTCCCAGGTAGCGGGCCTCCAATCCAGCGCGTCCTGAGCGTGGGGGTGGGGGGTGGGGGTGGTGGTGGTGGTGGACCGGGCTCCGGCACAGGGGTCTTGTTGGGTCTGTGGCTCCCTCTCCTGGCAGCTGAGGCCCAGAGAGGGCAGGGGACTTGCCCAAGGTGGCCCAGCCGCAGGTGGCATTGCCGGGGCTGGAGCACAGGTCTCCTCGCTCCCACCCCGCTGCCTCCCGCACGCCACACTGCCAGCGTGCACCCTTCCTTGCCAGCGAGACTACTTTTCTTTTCTGAGCGGCGGTGACTGCTCCACTTTCAAGCCAAGCCAAGCCAACCCCCCCCCCACCCCCATCTCCCTGGCGGTGCCCTCCTCCTCCCACCCCCGCCCCGGCCCCCCTCCTCGGTCCCCACGCTCCACCCCCAGCTCTCCTGTGGGACGGGCAGGACCCCCGTCTGGCACTCCGGCGCGGGCCTGCCTGGCGGGCTGAGCTCAGGCTGCGGCGGCGGGAACACCCCTGTGGAAGCATCTGCAGCAATTTCATGCCTCCTGGGCCACCTCCCACAGCCCCCCGCCCCTCCCCCGGGCCCCAGCCTGCCCCGCGCCCCCGCCCGGTTGGGCCCGGCCAGCCCGGGCCTCCACACTGACCGAGGGTGCGGGCCCGGCCGGCCGGCCAGCGCGGCCCGGCTGGTCCCGCCGCAGACCTGGGTCAGGCCCGTGCGGCCCGCGTGCTCCGGCTGTCCGGCTGGAAGCGGTTGTGCCGCCCTCGAGTGGGCTGAATGGAGGACAAGTCCCCAGAGCTGGGGGGCCCCTCAGGCCAATCAGGAGCGCCTCTCTAGATACAAAGCATCCCAATCAGGCGGCAGCGCCCCGTTCCCACATTCTTTGCCGTCACAAATTGTCACCATGGGGACCGTCACAAAAAAAGACAGCTCCCAAATGCAATCATTTCCCGGTAAATTTCTACCCTCCAGCCCCTCTCCCCCCGACCCGCGCCCCCCCCCTCCCCCCCTGGCCTCCACGCCCTCCTCCCCTTGACCTCGGTTCCCTGGTTTCTCGAGGGGGTGGGGTGTGTGTTTAAAAAGTCCGGGACCGAGGCGGGGCTGGGCCCAGAGACGGCCCGTCCTCCTCCCGGCCTGCGGCTGCCATGCTCCAGTGCAGACAACCGGACAGACGGACGGACGGACGGGTAAGCCGGGCAGGCGGCCTTCCCCGCCGTCCTTGAGTGTCGAGTGGCTCCCTCCTCTCCCCTCTCTCTTTCCTCACCCCGTCCCCCGAGGCAGGGCCGGGGCAGGCCCGGGAGGGCCCGCGGCTCCCTGGTGCGGGCAGGGGCGCCGGGCCGGACTCTCCGCCGCGGGGCCGGGATATCCATGGGAAGGCGGCCGGAGCTCTCAGGAATCTTGTCTTTATGTTTGCTTCCTCAATTGAGCCTCACAAAGCCTGAATTGGCCATTCAGCGCGGCCGGACAAAAGGCTGGCGTTGCACGGTCCCCTCGCATTTGTAGTCAAACAGTTAGGGACTTAAATCGAGTCGTCATGATGGAGAAAGAGGTGGACAAAGCCCATAGAACTGCCATCAGCAAACATTTTCCTGTGTCATATTAGCCAGTCTCCATGGCTCCCCCTGGCCTCGGGGACAATGGCACAAGTTTGCACACTTGGCTACTGTCACCGTGCCAACGCCGGCGGGGCCGCAAGCAGGGCCGCGCTGAGCGGGCACGGGAGCCCGGGGCCGGCCGCGGGCCCTGCCCACCGGCGGGCCAGAGGGAAGGCGAGGCCAGCGGCGGAGGGAGGCTGCCCGGGCAGTGTGGATGGGCGAGGCCTCCGTACCAGCCAGCCTGGTAGACCCCTGCACCTCCTGCCTATCCCCTCCTCTTCTCCTTCCTCTTCCTTCCCTTCTCTTTTTTCTACCACCCCCTCCTTCGGTGCCCTGGCTGGCCAGATGGCGGGTGGTCTATGCACCCACCCACAGCTCTGCACCACAACCTGAAGTGCCAGGGGCTCCTCTCTGGAGGGCCCCTCCCAGACGAGGCGGGGCGCACGGACAGGGAGGGGCAGGGCTTTCCCCCAGGAGTGGTGGTCCCGCCCCCTCCTGCGGGCCAATGGGCAGCTAGTACCACAGGGGATGCTGCCTGCAGTGACAGGGCCCAAGCCTCCTACCCCTCCAGCCCGAGGGTCCCTGCAGGCAACACGAAGGGTCTGGCAGAGCGCGCCCATCCTGGGGAGCGGTGGTCGTATTCTCCCACACCCGGCTTCCCCGCTGTGGGGGTGGGGGAAGCGTGGGCTAAGACGGAGGTGACCTTGAACTGGAGCGTCCTGGGTCCTTGGCCATCGCACTGTCTGCAGAGCGCGGCCCCTGTTCGCAGAAGCCTGTGCGCGGACGAGCGCTGAGCCTTGTGGTCTTAAGCCCTTGAGTTTTGGGGGCCACTTGTTTCTGCGGCAAAACCCAGCCCACCCTGACCGGGCCGGGCCGGAAGCATCCTTTCTGCTCCAAACCACTGCGCACACGCTGCCGGAGAAAGGTGCCGAGGTCGCGTCTCCCATCACAGCTCTGGCTGCCTCCTGACCCTCACCCCCTTCTCCTCATCCCACCCAGCCCCGTGTGAGCTCCGTGACCAGAATGGCCTTGGCGCAGAGCCGCCCTTGTGGTGGCCGAGGTTGTACTCGATGGCCAGTCCTCTGGCCAGTCTTTGGGACGGTGGATGCCTGCAAAGCAGGAAGCCCTGCTTCCCAATTCCACCCTCTGCACCAGGGCAGGGGTTCTAGAAAGCTCCAAATGACAGGTAAGCTGGGCAGACTTGAACTTGGGGATCCCGTCCCACATGAGTTGGTGGCCAACTTTCCAGCTGTGCTCACCCCGCCCCAAGTTTGTCTGCCCCACTCAGCCTCAGGGACTCCCCCCCCTCCCCACTCCCATTTCTAGTCAACTCTGTTCCATTCCACACCTACTGTGTGTCCGGGACCCGAGGGCGCAGGGGGACCCACCTGCTGGCTCCTCTGCCCGAGGCAGCTGTGGGAGGGGAGATGGACGTGTCTGGGTGACTCACAGCCACCCCCTGCCCACCCACCCGTGAGACAGCACCCTGGCTGCCGGCCTGGCACCAGCCACCCCTTGTTCCGATGGCAGGATCCTGAGAAAACCTTGATTTACTGAGTCAGCAGCTGCCACGGTCATTTTTAAAAGCCTGTCTTGCCGCCTCAGGGTGGTCATCAAATGCCCACCCAGCACTCAGCGCTTGATCGGAGTCTGTAACACGTATTAAGGCATTTTTTTCTTCCCAGGTGCCAGGATCACGGTCTTGGGTGGAGAAGGAAACTGAGGCACAAAGCCAGGAGCCTTGCCCAGGGAAAGGGCGGGGCTGGGCTGGGGATGTGGCAGCCAGAGCCAGGCCCTCGGTCACGGCCATCACCTGCTGCGCTTCCCACAGACAACTACCCCCCCCTCACCACACACAGACCCTCGCTCCCTCCAGGGCTTCGCTGGCCCAGAGGTGCAGAAGCTGCCCCCCCCGCCCCCCCCCGCCCCCGGCAGGGGTAGGTCCGACCAGTAGACTCGGGGACCCAGCGGGATGCAGACGTGCGGGCGGCTTAAGTAACTCTCCCCTTCCGTAAGGGGTGTCTCCATCAAAGCCCAGCCCGAGGCGCCCTGCCCGCTGCCATCGGAGCAAACAGGCTTCCTGGGGCCGGAGGCTACGGGCTGAAGCAAACCCCCAGGCTGCCAGGCCGAGGGCTTCCTGCCCAGCGACCTCACCTCAGGGCCCGGCTTACCACGGCGAGGCCGTGCCCTCACACAGCCGGGGACCGTGATGCCCAGAGGAGTCACAGCCCACCCGCAGGGACAGAGACCTCCGAGCGGGTGTCTCCCCTTTCCTTCCCCTCCGGGTCCCACCCTGGGCACCTCTCCCCTGTGAGGAGCGGCATCTCTGCGTCCCGCGGGGTGTCCCCAGAGCCCCCGGTCCTCACCACCGCCCTGTCTCCTCCCTGCCGCCCACCGCCTGCCATCACCTCGACGTGTGCTCAGCCGCCGCCTCTCCGAGGTGTCTCTGCGCCAGCCAGGGGTGAAAAGTCCGTTTGATCCCAACTGCCAACCCAGACTGGATTGGTGATGGCTGGCGGGTGCCCCGTGGAAAGATTCCGAGGGCCGGGCGGGACTCGGGATCGGCTAGTGCTGTCTTCCGGGGGGGGGGGGGGTGGACACAGGCTGGCTATGTGGGCTCCGCGCGTCCCCGAACCCAGTGCAGAATAACAGGATGCCAAGCCAGGAGGGTGACGCTTGGCCTTCTTGTAACCCAGACCTGACGCCTTAGCCAAGGGAACAGTGTCCCAGGGAGGGGCGGCGACGCCCCCAAGCACTCACGTGCTCCCGCCTCCCAGGCAGAGTTCATGGGTTCGATGAACTGAGACCAGGGGCGTGAGACATTTTGGAGAACGGAGACTGTGGTGAGTTCAGGGCATTGGAGAGGAGAGAGAGGTCCCTGCAGGGAGTGGGGAGAGAAAGTTAGGGCAAAAGGCTGTCCTCCATGGGCCTGTGCAAGCAGTAGGCACCCGGTAAAGGCCCATTGAATGAATGAATGAATGAATGAATGAGACACGGAGTACAATGACTGGTTGGCTCTGAGCCATCTTGGGAACTCCAATAGCCAGTGTCATCACAACCTGGAAACATCTCTCACATTGACCCACACACGCCCTCGTGGCTCTGCTTACTGACTACACGCTGACCACGTCACACCCTCTGCTCTGCTCCACCTGGGACCAGTCCCCACCTCCTCTGCCCTCCCCTGGAC